ACCTCCTTTAAACATAACCTCTTTCTGGTTACTGTATATAAGACCTTAATTCTCTTTATACTTTTCTGAATAAAAGAGTTTCTAATTGAAGAATAATAAGCCAAGAAAAAAAAAAAGAATCCAGTTGCTAACAGCATACATTTTTAAGTCGCCCTCTGGGCCCTCGTGGTGGTGCCTCAGTAAAGCTGAGCCTCTGCTCTTCAGCTACTGCGTGAGAGCGAAGCCTTTAAAGTCTCTGTGAGGACATCAGGCAATTGTTGATGTGGGGCACTTTGTAATCCTGGTTTCGTACCTGCCCCACTCAATTCTCTGACAGAACTAATTTTATTTTTCTTTGAATGTCTCTGTATTTATGGTCTCAGTGGCCTTGGGACACTTTCTTGCCCCCTGCTCAGTTATTTGCAATTGACAGAAAACAAGATTAAGAATGTAAGTTTTGTTCTTATCAGATTTATTGAGATACAATTTATAAAGTTCAGTGGTTTTTAGCATATGCATAGATATGTACAAGTATAACCCAGTCAGGTGTTTTTTATTTTTTTCTTTTTTCCCCATTCTAGAAATTGAACTCAGGATTTTGCACTTCCTGGGCAGGTGCTGTGCCACTGAGCTACATCTTATCCTAGTCAGCTTTAGAACATTTTTTAAGCTCCTCAGAAGCCCTACGCCCTTTAGCTATTGTTCCCCCTACTGTCTTTCCTGTGTCTTCCTAGCTTTGGGTTGCACGTAGTCTATTTTCTCACTCTAGATTTGCTTACTCTGGGCATTTCTGTTATATAAATGTATCATAAAATATGTGGTCTTTTATCACTGGCTTTTATTTAACATAACATTTTGAAGGTTTATTTATGCTAGAGTAAAAGTTTTTAAAATAAAACTAATTATAAAAGTAATTTTTTAAAAAAAATAATTGAACTTCAGAAGATTATTCGTTTATTTTGGTACTGGAAATTGAACTCAGGACCTTGTGCTTATCAGATAAGCACTTATGCCTCTGAGCTACATCCCTGGCTAGAAGATAATTCAGAAAATGAAAAATTTCATTTTCTAACAAAAACATCTATGCGTGGCAAGCATGATGTCCTGAGTTCGATTCCTGATACCAAAGACGTCTAGCATTTTTTATATCATATAATAAGGGTTATTATGGCTGTAATAAAAACATAACTATATTCTTTTTAAAATATTGTGTCATAACATTTGTGTTGTATTGATTTCAGTCTCCATCACTAAGAAAGTAAGTTCATGTATGTATGTATATAGTATAGTAATCATCTGATTTGTAAAGTAGTTTGGCAGATAACTAATAGCCTGTCCCTACTGTTCTGTGAAGGAAGTTCTTTTTCTGTCTCTGAGACGAGCTGTGTGTCAGGCTGCTTCCTCAGCTGAGTGATCCGGCGATGCTGGCGTTATAGGCGTGTACCACCAGGCCCATTTAGGAATGTTTTTCTTGTTTGGTCAGGATACATTTTGTTGATGCTAAAAACTGCTGAAAACTTGTTAGCAAGGAAGGTAAATACTAATATCAAAACAGGCAATACTACTTTATATATCAAAATTACCAAAAAACATTTTTGCTTAAATATTTAAAAAATAGTTATTTGGCCTGTAAGCCCTAGAGAAATACTCAGATAGTTTGCCTGTGAAGCTAGTGAGAGTTTACTGCTTGCAAGCTGTTTGGCTGGGCTGATCTCTGGATAGTGTTAAACAAATTTGCTTTCATCTTAAGGAGTGGAGTAAATATCTCCCTAGCGGTTTGCAATTGGTTAGACCTTCAGTTATTCCTTTTTTTCTTCTTCTATGCTTTTTTTTGTTTTTGGCAAAACTGGGCATTGAACTCAGGCTCTTGCGCTTGACATGGAAGCGCTTATTCTACTGAGCCATCTCCCCAGCCCCTTCTACTTCTATGCTATGGGTATTTATTTATTTATTTTTCCTTTTTTTTTTTTGGTGGAACCGGGGATTGAACTCAGGCCCTTGTGCCTGCCAGGCAAGCACTCATTCTACTGAACCATCTCCCCAGCCCCTCCTTTTCCTTTTTGAAAACAGGGTTTTATATAGTTGAGGCTGGCCTTGACCTCACTTCTTAGCCCAAGCTGGCCTTAAACTCACAGCGATCCTCCTGCCTCAGCCTCCTGCGTGCTAGGATTACGGGTGTGTGCCAGCTTGCCCAGCCCGCTACTGGTATTTCTGTGATGTCTTGTGATTATATGTATTCTGCAAGGTGTCTTTTATTCTTTTATCAGTACAAGTGTGTTTTCCTTCTAGAAATGTTACCACTTTGTGTTTCAACGATACCGCCTGGAGCACTACACTGTAACATCAAATTGGCTGGCCTTAGGAACAGTCTTGCTATTCGGGCTCTTGTCGTTCTCCCGCTCCGTGGCGCTGTTCAGAGGTAAATGTGTGCAGAGCATCTCAGCCCACATCCGTGAAGCACCTTCGAGCTTACTTGGTGCAGGCTTGCTTAACAGGTTGGGCCCATGTCAGGAGGAGGCCTGCTCCAAACAGAGAGCATGTCGACTTAATTATGATGCAGTGTGACTTCAGTACCTCAGCATCAAAAAAAGAGGTCGCGGGTTCCTTTTACTGTGATTAGCTATACATTTTTTCCTGTCTAGTCTTACTGGTTTTCCTCCTTTTTAAATGGCTGCTGACGAATTAAGGAAACCTAAACTTACCATGAAAATTTGGGGTTAACTTCTCATTATTATATTTTTCTTATAGTCATTACTGAGATCCAGAGTTGAAGAAAGGGCAAGAAATCAAGTTATATTTGACAAAATAGAGTAGTGTTTCTGTGGCAGCCAACATCCTAAACAGAGAGACATTTTATACCTGTAGAACAGACTTCCTGGTAGGGTTGCTGTGACCCTTTACACGCTAGATTTTATCTAGATTATAGTGAGATGTTAATAGGCTTGCTTTTTTTGAAAAAGATTCCTGGTATGTAGCCCAGGCTGGCCTTGAGCTCCCTTATGTAGCCCAGGCTGGCCTTGAACTCACAGCAGTTCTCCTGCCTCCGCCTCCCAATAGTGGGATGTGAACATGTGTTATAATTAAATTCCAGAATCTCATTTTACTCATCTTTGATCTTCATTAACCGTTCTTTGTTTCCAGGGTATCATGGACCCCTTGACTTGTATCCAGAATTTTACCGAATTGCTACAGACACATCTATTCACACTGTCCCAGAAGGCAGACCTGTGAATGTCTGTGTGGGAAAAGAGTGGTATCGATTTCCCAGCAGCTTCCTGCTGCCCGATGAGTAAGTTGCCCTTCAATGCCCAGAGTTTTAAATTAAGAAGCAAAAAGCAGTTGTATGACAGGATCATCTTAACTTTTAAGTTTTTACGTAGTCATTGAGTTTTTCATGTTAGATTTCTATGGAATCTGCCATGTGCATAACAACAGGCTCAAAATGCTTTGGGGCCTAGGTATCTGCCAGTGGCTATTCCTGAAGATTTATATTTATAGTTCTTTAATTATCTGATATTAGTCCACTTCTAAAAGTGGTCTAGAAACTTTAGCTTAAGAGTTATTTAGAAAAAAAAAAAATTGGCGATGAGAATGAAGAGTCTTGCTAAATTTGTCAGTCTGTTCTTGAGATCCTCCTGTCTCAGCCTCCTGGAATTATAGGTGTATGCCACCATATCCAACTTAAAGAAAAACTTTTTCCTATCCAACAACAGTGAAAGTTCTCTGCCAATGTGTGGCAGTGGGGAAAGCTACTATTAAGACACCTATCTAGCTTCTCTTATGCTGTTGTTAGATTTAATAACATATGCCCTAGAGTTTTGTTTGTTTTTCTTTCTTTTTTTTTTAAGATTGATTGATTGATTGAGTACAGGGTCTCAATCAATCAATTGATTGAGTACAGCTCACACTAGTGGTGATCCTCCTGTCTCAGCCTCCTCAACACTAGGATTAGAGGTGTATGCCTCCATGCCCAGTTTTAGTGGCCAGCATGGTTCTGGGGGCCAGCACAGTATGTGGTACTTGGGATCAAACCCAGGTCCTTGGGCTCGCAAGGTAGGCACTTAGACTGCCAAGCTGTCTCCTCAGCCCCAGTACGTTTTGCTTAATTTGGTCCTCTTTAGATAAAAGGGAAGTCTGGTTCTTTTTATTTATTTATTTTCTTATTTTTTTGTTGGATGCTAGGTCTCACTGCACAGTTCAGACTTGTAGTGATCCTCCTGTCTCTGCCTCCTCTGTGCTGGGATTACAGCTATTCACCACTAGGCCTGGTTTTGGTGGCCAGCTCAGCGTACCCGAGATTCTGGGGCTGGCACAGTGTTGGTACTGGAGATCAAACCCAGTTCCTTGTGCTTGCCAGGCAGTCACTTAGACTGCTGAGCTATCTCCCCAGCCAGAAGTCTGGTTAAGATAAGTTCTGTTGCTCCATTTGAGGAAAAGTATCAACAGCTTAGCTTTACCTGATAGTAATATGCTGTGCTTAATAAAATCCTGCATCAATCATTAATAATTAAATTAAAACTTTTTTTTAAATGTTGACTTTGAACTTCGCCTTTTACATTTGAGTTTTATAGCTGAAAATACTTTTGAGGATTAATTAGGAGCAAAGTACTGCTCTCTTAGTGTGTTCTTAGGACCATGTATTACATTTCATCTTGCTCAATACACCTGATGAATTTGCTTTAATTTTGTACGTCTCTTTGATCACATGGTAAATTGGTAATGGGTTTGACACTTCCCGCTTGTTCGGTGATATGACTGTTTGGGTGCAGGTTTGACTGCTGAGGCTTAGTGAAATAGGTTGAGAGATCTCTAATCATCCATTTCTCAATGCTTTTGGACTAAACTTTGACCTTTGCCTCTGTGCTCCCTGATTGAGGTTTTAGCAAAAAAAAAAAAAAAAATTATTTCAAGTGAAATGTTTTTCTCATGATTTTTTTGGGGGGGTTGGTTGGTTGGTTTCAAGTACATTTAGCAATATGATCCCCTTGTGTTTTTCTTATTCTCTTTACTTGTGGTTCTGACAGTTGGCAGCTTCAGTTCATTCCATCAGAATTCAGAGGTCAGCTTCCAAAACCTTTTGCAGAGGGACCACTGGCCACCCGGAGCATTCCCAGTGACATGAATGACCAGAACCTGGAAGAGCCATCCAGATATGTAAGGGCTATGTTTTATTCTTGCTTTTTGAAAAGAATTTTAACCCCAAAATCTCTTAGCATATATATTACAGCTCTGATAAGATGATATTTTCTTTGGTCCTAGAGGTGGAGCCCAGCTTTCACCCTGAGCTCTAACTCTGCCCTTTTTTATTTTATTCTTTATAGTACTGGGGCTTGAACCCCGGCCCTTTCTTAATTTTTAAATTTTGAGACAAACTCTTGCTAAGTTGTCCAAACTGAAATTGAACTTGGAGTTCTGTTGTAACCTTCCAGAGTGCTGAGATTATAGGAGTGAGGCACCATGCCCAGTTTAAAAATGAAAAATAAAATTATTTTTTAAAAAAATTAGAATGAAGACTATAATAATTTTGTTGAGAAAGGATGAACAAGATACTCTTTTCAAATTACCTCTTATTTTCAAATTACCTTTATTTGCTGTGTAAAGCATATAATTCAATATAATTTGTAACTTGGATGAGTGAAAAATTTTCTTATGATAGAATCTGAACTGTCATTTTGAAACTTTTATTATTGCTTGTCCTATTAAAATATTGGGGCTGGTGAGATGGCTCAGTGGTCTAAAGCACCTGCTTGGAACAAGCTTAGCAAAGCAAAGGGACTGCGGTTCAATCCCCCAGCACCACATGCCAGCCAGCCCGCCCCCTGGTGGGCTGGGCTGGCCACACACACACACACACACACACACACACACACATAAATTAAAAAAATAAAAATAAAAAATAAAATATTGGTGGGGTGCTTTCAAGTTATCGAGTTACCCTCGACCTACCTATTACTATGTTCTGGTTTTAGCACATGAGTAGGCAGGAAGGCTGTTTCCACAGTGAGTGCTATGGAGTAATCTCTGTCAGCGCTGTGATCTTCTCCCTACTTGTCTGCACTTTGAGGTCCCATGTGAATTTCATTTCAGTTCCTTTGAAACTTGACACTTTTGACATTTGATACCTGTAAAATCTTTGATGGTGAGAAAGCTGAGACCAATAAAGAATAATTGTTTTCCTGATTCACAGAGACAGTGAAGGATCATTTTGTAAAATAGGTGAAGAGCACATTTTCTGGACAATCCATCTGTTAAATTTTTAAAAGTTTAAATGTCAGATATAGTCTGTTATGCCATGTGCTTGAAATGTAAAATAGTGAGGTTTCCAGTTTTCTTCTGAAGCAAACCTGTGGCCACATGTGGCCTTTTGTCTCCCAGATTTGGGCTGGGTAGACTTGCATGGAGGCGTCAGGGCTGGTGAATGGAAGTCGTACTTATTAGTCTTTAGCCATAGACTGGTGTACATTGAAAAACATATGCTTGGCTTGGCTTCCTGAGAAAGTAAGATAAACTTCTTTTAAATAAGTTAGTAAGACACTATTCTTTTAAAGGAAAGTCTTCATTCCTCTTGGAAAACAACCCTTGGCAGTGATAGATGTTAGTGGCCATTTAAATTTTATCTGTAGTCACTGTCCTGAGAGCAGTCTTTAGTGGACAGGGGATGACTGTGGGAACACTAGGAAGTCAGAAGGGCGCGTGGATAAGCCGTGAGAACAGGACAGCATGAGTTCAGAGTGGTGGTATCAGAAACTGTGCTTTAGGAAGAAGGAGCATTGGGAGGATAAAACAAGAGGCGTATTTTGGGCTCCATTAGGCCTCGTTCCAGCCCCAGCTGGTTGCTCACCTTGGTGATGTTGGACAAATTGGTTAACTTCTCTTTTTAACTAGTTTCAGTTTCTATCTGTGAAACAGAACAGTGACATCTACTTTGGAATTACCTTGGAATGTAATATTTCTGTATATCTCTGTCATATTTAGTATATTTGGAATCTGGCATATTTTCCTGTGAATGTTTTTAGTCTAATAAGGAAAGCTTTTTCTGCCCAAATCTTCCTCCTCCCATACTGTAGTTGTTTATTACTGCCTTTTCTACTCCATTGCTTTGGTGACCAAATGGGACTATTCATGAGCCAACTATCTACTCTCTGTCGAGCTGTCCTTTCTATAAGCGCCTTGCCATGTAATTTTGTTGTGTTATGTTAACTACATGGTTTTGATTTGTATGCCATATCTTTCTCCGTCAGATGTGTGACTGATTACACCAACTCTACATTCACCATAGTATCTAGGATAGTGCTTTTAATAGACTTTCTTTATCTGCAAAACTCCCAAAAGATTCCTAAAGCCATGGATAGTGCCAAACTACATACACTGTGCTATTTTTTTCTTGAACACATAAATCTATGATAATTTAGTTTTTAAATCAGGCACAGAGTAGATTAGTAATAGCTAATAATAAGCTAGAATAATTATAACATATATAATAAAAATCATGTGAATGTGACCTCTGCCAAAATATCCTATTGAACTATAGATCATAACAGCCTCACATGATTTCTTTTTTTTCTTAGGAAGTTGGAAAGCTTTACCTTTTCACTTAAACACTTTATAGCTTCTCTTTGCCGTCACTCTTGAGCCCATCATCACTCTTGTGCTTTGAGAGTCATCTTCAAATAATATAAGTGAGTTTTAACACAAGAACTGCTGTGCCCTGGTGGTAGATCAGGTAACTTAGGTGGCCACTGAGTGAGTAAGAGAAGCTGTAAGGGACAGGTAGCATAATCAGTGCGGGCACATTGGGCAGAGGGATGATTCAAGTTGAGAATGTGACGGTACATGATACCATCGTGCTGTTCAGAATGGTGTGCAATGGGAAGCCTGTGCACTGTTTATTTCTTGAATTTCCAATTAATGTTTTTAGGCTATGTTTGATCAGCTGTGCTTGGGCTTTTCAGTGAGTATCCATTGTTACCTGGGTCGTGATGCTGAGAGGAGGCTGCAAGGAAAGCTGCAGTGGCCCTTGCACGGCTTAGGCCTTGGTCCCGGCTTGTCTCGGTTAGTCATCGCTCCGTATTCTGTGTTGCCAGACAGGTTAGCTAAACGACTGTATATTTTTTGAAATCCCAGTAGGAGTCTGATAAAAACTGAGACAAGCAAGTTTATATATCTTCTGGGTATGTAGCATCTGTCTTTGTCTTTGTGCCACATCTCTTGTGCTTGAGTTTTCCTGCATTCTTTGCATTCTGATTTCAGTGGATTGTCTGACTCGGTTGGAAAAGTGACCTCCAAATTCAGTCTACTCAGCTTTGGCCCTTTGGAAAGCAGCAAGGGCATTTGATGACTTATTGTTATATGTCCATAGCTTACTATTATATTGGGTTCATCTTTTTCAATTAACTTTTTAAATAGATACTTGATTTCCTTTGAGAATAAAAGTGTTATATGTTCATTAAATAAAATCTATTAACAAGGAAAAAATAATCTGTCATCTCATTACCTAAGTGTTACCAGTCTTACCATTTCAGTGTTTTGGGGTTTTTGTCCTTTTTTATTTATTTTTTTTTTATTTGTGTGTGTGTGTGTGTGTGTGTGTGTGTGTGTGTCCAGCTCAGCCCACCAGGGGGCAGGGCTGGCTGGCATGTGGTGCTGGGGGATTGAACGGCGGTCCCTGTACTTTTTGCTAAGCTTGTTCTAAGTAGTTGCTTTAGACCACTGAGCCATCTCACCAGCCCCTTTTTGTCCTTTTTTTAAAGACAGGGTTTCACTATGCAGTTCAGGCTGGCCTTGAACTTACTTTGTAGCCCAAGCTGGCCTCAAACTCAGAGTGCTTCTCCTGCCTCAGCCTCCTGAGTGCTGGGATTACAGGTGTATGCCACCATACTTGGTTCAGTGTTTTTTGGGGTTTTTTTTTTTTTTGGTTCATCTTTTTTCTTTGCATTTGTATGTGCATATGTAAACACATAAAATTATCAGTTACTTTATTTTTTTTATTATTTATTTATTTTTATTTATTACATTTATTTATTGTGTGTGTGTGTGTGTGGCCAGCTCAGCCCACCAGGGGGCGGGGCTGGCTGGCATGTGGTGCTGGGGGATCGAACCGCGGTCCCTGTGCTTTGCCAAGCTTGTTTCAAGTAGGTGCTTTAGACCACTGAGCCATATCTTCAGCCCTATCAGTTACTTTAAATATTAAATGTGTTTAGTTTTTGAGTAATGGTGCTGGAGTTGTGGCTGCAGTGTCCAATGTACTGACGTATAGGAGAACATGCTGCAGTTTTACTTTTGGTGTCATCCCTGGTTGTAAGTCTAAGCTCATTTCACCATCTTCCTTTAACTCTTAAGTTTATCAAGAATTTGGTATGAGTGTGCATAATGGCCCTGTGGTTTCTATTGCACTGTTATAACTGTATTTGCAAAAATAATGCTTTCTGTTGCATATTCTTTCATGGTAGAAATTGAGTAGCTGTCAAGCATCTTATTATTGAACAGTGGGCATTTACTGTGGTTCATGCCAAGATTTTCTGCTAGAGTCAAGGTCTGCAATAATTTAATTTACTTTATTACTTTGTTTTTTGTGATATTGGAAGTTTAACCCAGATCTTCACACATGCTAGGCAAGCTCTCCTCCCCTGAGCTACATCTCCACCTCCCTCAAGGTCTGAATTTAGAAAGAATATTCAGAGGCACCTCTTTCGTGGTGTGTGTGTGTGTGTGTGGTTTTTTTTTTGTTGTTGTTGTCTTGTTTTTTTGTGTTTTTGTACCAGGGATTGAACTCAGGACCCTGCACTTGCCAGGCAGGTGTTTATTCTACTGAGCTATCTCCTCAGCCCTAGTTTTTGACAATTTTTTTTTTTAGTGACTGGTAATTTCCAAGATCCTTGACATTAATTTGTGTTTCTTTCCAATTCACAGTAACTATAACTGATACTCAGTTGGAATGTTTATATTCCAACTTTCTTAGAAAAAAGTGTCCTTGCTGCTTCTGTTTCAGAGCAGATGAGCATCTGTTAGAGACCACTCTGAGCTGTGAGATTTAAGAGTAAGGAAACGGTCACTGCAGAGTCCAGCCTTGACAATGTCCCATTCCAGCCGAGGAGAGATGCGGTGACCGTTCTGTTACTGTCCATCTCTCTTTAGCTCACTCGTCCTTGACAAAA